CATGGACCAACAGGCTGGGAGCTCCAGGCAGAAGCCGACACGTTAGACTTGCTAATGACCTTTGCCATCAATGCTTTCCAACCACAGCCAGTTCCCACTCATCTAACTCTGAGTCAAAGACCATATTTTCAAGAGTAAAAGCCTTCACTGGCATAACACCTCCTGTCATACCACACAGCCTTTGGGCAGGAGGTAAAACCAGAGGCATACATGGCTAAGATTCTCTTGCTTCTCTCTGCCTGTGTTCTGGCCAAGTTTCCAGGTCTGGCTTGTGCTCTCCATCACAAAGGTAGCTGTATGCTATTTAGTTCAGATTAGCACTCGCTGTTGCCTACATAGGTAATTTCCTCCACCGTGTCCCACTTTCTCGGCAATACAAGCTCCCATTCAGCAAGGCACTTACGTGCAGGAACTTACTGCCTTCAGCAAGATCTAAGCACAAACTCCAGAGCTTTGCTGATTAAGCAGAGCTGACAATTCCTGTCCCTCTAGAGCACCTCTCTTCGCAGGAGAGTCCTCAAAAAAATTCCTTCCTCCTCCTTGCTTTTCTAGTAATTTCTATCTTTCCTGGAAAACATATATGACAACACTGTTCGAATCAGAATCCTATGGACACTCTACAAAAAGATGCGTGCCAAGCACACACCCCTGTCAAGGCAGATGAATAGCTACAATAGCAAAAGTGATCCTGAGTGTGCAGCTTCTCTTCTGGACTAATTTCCCCCAATACGGCACCAAACCAAAAGCGGCAGCAGTGCTCTGATTGAAAAATCAGATCCAGTTGACTGATAAGAACAAAGAGGACTGCATGACTCAGTTTTCCTCCATTTGCCTTTACAGAGATGGATGGATGCTCCCCAAATCCCTTAATAACTTGACTCCTGCAGCCTAGTCCGTGCCCTCACTTCTAGGCACTGAAACCTGTGCATCTTTCATTTGTGCTCAGGAAAAACAGCTAAGTTCGGTTTGGGTCTGTGATTCCTGTAGGGAATCCAACTGGGGACCAGCCGGGGCTCACCCCAATGCCAATGACGAAAGGAACCTCTAGTTACGATGCAATGCCAAAAGCCTGGCATGCATACATGGAGGTTCCTTCTGCTCACACCTCTGTTTTAGTGAAAATAATCAGATGTCACTTATCCTGGAGCTCTACAACTAACTACAGAATTAGAAATGGTAGTGACATACCCTGGGAAGGTGGAGCTGAAGTATTTGGGAGAGAAGACAATTGCATCTGGTCTCACATGCTTCTCGTCAGAAGCGTTTGATGATTACTGCTATAACAATAAAAGTCACTAAGGATGACTACCGCTTCCCACTTTCCTGTGCTGTCCCGAAGATTCTGAGAAAGCTCCAATTTTCAGTGGAATTTACAATGTATTTATTTTTGAAGTGACGGTATCAGAAATACTCCCCAGCCTCTTGTTTTCTTTACCTCCCCTGTTCCCTTCCTGACTCCCAGTTTCTAGCTGATCTGTGAAATCAGGATGCTGCAAGAAGAACAACATACCTGGGGAGGCAAAGGGTTCTTTGCCGTTCACTGGAGCCCTCAGCATCATGGCTGGCCTGAAAGCCTTTCTGAAGGACTAGTTCTGGCTCAGGCCAAGTCACAGGCTTGATGCCATAATCCCTACATGAAAGGGTGATGCAAAGGGTCAGAATAGGTGTTGATAAAGTTCCCTTCCAGCCAAAACAATCTACGAACCTCCAAGGAAATCCACCATCCTCTGGCAAGAGCCAGGACCAGACTTTCCGAAGTGTAACAATGTCTGGCTCCAGAATCGCAGGGGCAGCGCCTCTGAAGAGCTATGAAATCATCTCTTCTGCTTGGGAGGTTCGACAAGCTACGTTGGCATTGCCTGTAAGCCACAGACCACAAGACTGGAATGCTGGGAACAAAACCAGAGCAGATACGTTCAGAATGGCTTTAAAGCTAATGTTACACTGCTAAAAAGGAAGAGAGAGAAGGGGAAAAAAAAAAAAAAGGCACTTAACCTGGATTTTCTATACAGTAAAAGTCAATTTGGAGATTTCCTTTGAACACGCTAGAAAGCCGTTGTGCAACCCAGCCTGCTCAGCAGGCCCAAGGCGGGAATGGCAGAAGCTACTGCAAGTCAGGACCAAGGTACCTGAGCAGAGCTGTGTGGGAGGCAAGGCCTGGAGTCGCAGGAGAGCAGCAGCTTCAGAGAGAACGGGAGCTGGCGGAGATTAATGAAGGAAGCTCAGACAGTGTCTGTCTGTAGGAGGCCTGGCTCAATCCAAGGCCATTAACTTGTTGCTTTCTGAACACCACCAATAGGACTGGAAACAAAAGCATGTCTGCCCAGCATGGTTCATGTTGAGCGATTGCTTAAATACTCCAGCAGAATGAAGAGCATTAAGAAAGGCAAAGAGCCACTTCAATGGCTGCAGGCTCACAAGGCTGCAAGTTTTTGCATGAAACCCAAGTCAAAACCAGGCAGGCAACTGGGATGTAGCCTTGAAAGTAGAAACAAGTAAATTAACTAGCCTTCATTTTCTCCCATTCAGGCGTTTAAACTTAAAGGGGAGTCCATCAGCTTTAAATAAATCATATTTATAATTAAAAACGTATTTTCTTGTGCTGCTTACAAGCCTTTGGATGATTAATAAGGCATTTTTCAAATTACTTTAATTCACACTAATTATGCTGCTTGTTTACCCCAGTCAATAATTTTTATTCCAGGGAGATAAAGCTATCCCAGGAGGAGGTGTCCCTCCAGGGACCAAGAGGAAAAGGACCCTAGGGAACTGCCTAAGGCACCACTAACATATGGGAGGTCTTTCACTGAAAGCAACACAGCTGGTTACATGAGTCACGTCAGGTTGAACACTCACAGGACTTCTTTCACTAAGCCTGACTCTTTGCCTGGATAAGATGAGGAGACATGAGCTTGCTCAGCTCCCAGAGACCTGGAGCTGTGTTTTGCCTAGACCTTGCCTGAGGTACCAACCTCGCCAGGGGACCAGACTTTGTCAGTCTAGCACGAAACCATAGCAGCGGCTGCACAGTTTCTGGTCTGAGTCAGGCTTGCATCTGGCAGAAGCCAAATGTGTCAGGGGCAAGCGAGAGGGACAGAATGAGAATTTAAGACCCCCGTTGACATTTTCTCCTGCTTTCCCTGCCTTCAGCAGTATGGGTCTCTTCAGCTTTTCAAGCCCACATGCTGACCAGCAGGAACTGGAGAGCCAAGGAACACGGGCTCCCGCCATGCTTTGCCCCCTGCACCCTAGTGAAGCTGTATCAAGGGCAGGTCAGTAGCAAGGTATTATTTTTGAACTGCCTTTACAAAAAAGGACAGGAGATGGAGAAGCAGAAAAGGCCACACAGTAGCTGTGAAGCAAAACGCTCTCCCATTCATTTTTCTTCTTTCCAAAACCGCTGCTTTAAGCCTTACCTCCTCCTATGTCATTTGCAAATGCTGGGAAGTTTCTTAGCCCTTTAGGAAATACAGTACAACAAATTGAACAAGAATTCTCTTCCCAGTTATTTGATTCTCTTTCAACATTATTTAAAAGAGCTAGATATATAAAAAAAGCAGTGGTGCATTTCCATCCCCACCCCAGCACTGCAGCCTGCCTTTGTGGTGTGAATGGATTTGCTGGGTAACCTTTCCACAGCAAGGGCTGAAATGTCCTGACCCAGAAGCCTTCGGGCAGCAGACATACCGATACCTGCAGGGTGACACAGTGACGTGGAAGTTAGGAACTGATCATGCTGCCACATGCCCAGCAAAGAGTATTGCTACAGCCCTTTCCAATGCTTTACAAATCAGGGTGCTCCTGGTTTGATTCTTCAGGACTCTTGCAGACTCTCCAAAAGACAGCAATGACATTTCCTCATCTTTTTACCCTTTCTCCCCTGTTTCAAGACAGCAGTTATTTCATAACCTAAGTGTCTCTATAGTTGACAGTTATTCTTAGGCAACTGAAAGCTACAAATACAAGTGTCTATCTAAAAAAATATGCATGCATTGTGTAGCATGAACTGCTCTTCAGCTAGCAGTGCACACACAATAGATCTTGTTGCTTCATGAACTACAACAAAGTAGGAGATATCAGGCAAGGCTTTCCCTTCTTGAGAGACGAGGTACTAGTGAGATTCATGGTAACGGAAGAGGAAAAAACCTGTAGTTACCTAATGGTGACCCAAATCCTTCAGATCAGGCACGCAGAAGCGTGTGAGTTTCTGTGGAAGCCTGATTTATATTAATCAAACCAGTACTGAAAAGCATTACCACAAAATTTATTCTAATACCTGTTGTACCACACCCTAAAAATAAGAAAAGAAAACAAGCCGAGATAAAAGATATTTGCTGTCAAAGGTGGGGAAATACCTTCAGAAAGCCACAATGTTGGCTTCCTCTAAGAAATGAAACAAGAGTGGTAGACATTCTTCAGATTTCTTATCAATGACAGGTGTCTTGTCTACTTGAGATTAGCACACCACCATGACAGGGCAGTGCAGTTCGTGACCTGGGGGCCGCAGCCAGCAAGAACAGTTTCTCACTGTTCAAGCAGAAAAAGTAGGTAGTTCTGCGTAAACCCTGGTCCCGAGAGCTGCTTCTGATACTCCACACTCTGGAGGTGCCCTAAAACTGGCATCAGCCCCAAATCTTTGAAAGCCCAAACCTTGCCTGATATGAATTTATAGCACCTGAGCTATAGCATGCTAGCTCCCTAGATGAACATCCTCACGGACAGTGAGGGCAAGGCAGCATAATCTGCTTTCTCCACAGGTTATCTGCACACCATGAGGCATCCATGGGGAAGCTGGCACAGAGAAACTGGCGTGCTCTCAGTTCCTGCCCTCGATCAGTGTATTTTAACTTGTGGATTTGCACAAATCTGAATGACTGGAAAAGAGCTGCATGAGATAAGTCGGCTAAGGGATTCATATTAGGCATACTGACCAGCTGCAAAAAAGAGCAGATTTACCCTTTGTATGATTTTTGTTCTCAAGAGTACACAACACAGAGGTAAGGTTGAAGCTCTCCTTCTGTTTCATGTGGAAATCCAGAGTAAGAGTGACTCGCTACTCAACTTGCTCAGCTGCTGTAAGACAGTTGACCATTTCTTAAGTTGTTAAAACCATAAATAATTAAAAAAACCCCCTCAGACTAGGAGCAAGACATCTAAAATACTGCTTATTCTTCTCTTAGAGCATTTGTCCTTAGCAGAACTCACTTGAAGTGATGCTAGGGACTGTAAAAGGCACTGAGGTCCTGTGTGCGCTGAACTCTGTAAAACCACATCTCACCAGGAGGATACACTGCATATGGCCATGAAGAGGCTCCAATCTAAAAAGCATCCCTCATTTTCCTCACAGTTGAGGGGCAGCAGGCTTGCGGTATTTGCACTGGATCCATACTCGATACATGGTCATTTGTTTCCCACGGTTCACTTGCAATCGCCGATCAACCAGATTCTGGATTTTCTCCAGCCCAGCTGTTGTGAAGAGATCATCCAATTCATCTGGAAGCAGAGAGGAGGAGATTGAGGATGCCATAGGTTTCATTTAACTGATACATGCTCACACTGAGGTTTAAATTGTGTTGAAAGATGGGCCAGAAGAAAGTCACAGTCTTGCTCTGGCAGGAAACGTGAAGACCAGACAGGACTGTATTATGGGAGGATTAAGATCACAGTTTCTCTAGTTTCCCTTGAGTTTACCTTCTACCAAGGAAGGAAAGAATTATGTGGAGGACAACTAGAATTACGAAGACTTGACAAATTTTCAGTCATGGGTATTGCCTCTAGTAACTGATTAAAGGGGCATCTTCTGGCAAGTAGGGACAGATCCATTCCTCCCCCGTCCCCCCTCTCTCCAGAGGAATTTCAGAGTCTGTAAGAGCAAAGAATGGGATCAGACCTACGCTTTTAAATGGCGGCAATAGGACCTGTGCTGTACAGGCTGGAGGGGAATGGGATTCATTAAGGTTAAATTTGGGAAGAAAAAAATTCTTCAAAAACCACACCCTACTGGGGCCCAATCAAAGCACTAAGAGCCCTCGAGGCTGCAACACTTAGACTGGCAGATATTCCTGACCAAGCAAATCAGAATCGTAGTGCCCCAGCACACTGGCCCTGGGCAAAGCCAGACCGAGTCCTGCTGAGCAGCAGAGAGCTTGTTCAACTGCAGCCTGGGAGCACGTGATTTGTATGGAGTTTCTGTAGAAAAGGGCTAACAGGTCCCAGCTTGTGCTCTTTATCAGATGCTTGCCATCGTGAAGCGTTTGCCAAACACGCATTAAACATTAATTTTGTTGTGACAAACAAGACTTGTGCAGTGGGGAAGGGAATCATTTGTTGCAGTTGTGGCAGTGCTCTAAAACTGATCATGCAGAAGGGCCCATGGAGGAAGGGGCTGGAGGTGCAATTGGTGATCAGCAGGGAGAATACAACCCCTGCAGAACACTCAGCAGCAGCAGCAGAAGGCTGCCTCAGCTCCATGCTGAACCACGCCCTTCTTATTTCCTCATAGGAGAACAGTGAAGAGAAGTTCCTTCAAGTGGTGTTCATCTCACTTCATCCTCCGCAGGCAGCAGGATTCAAGGACTGCTCCTCCAATCCCACCCCTCCCAGTGTACCAAACACTAGTCTTTCTCTAAGAGGATTTTCCACTAAGGAATTCACCATGCCATATTTGCATCAGCAAGAGACAAGTCCAGGTCCCTCTGCAATGGGGAGATGCTTAACATTTCACACTGCTCCAAGACAGGCTAGAAAGAGCTAGTGGCAAAACTTGAGGGCACAGGGACAAAAAGAGGTGAGGAGAGTCAGAGAGATCTTTTCTAGCCTCCTACCTTGTGTAAAGAAGTAGACTCTGGTGCCATCACCTCTCACATAGAAGTTATCAGACAGACATTGACCTAAGGGCAAGAGGGATTTAAACAGTTACCAGCTATCATTTAAAAATCAACAACTGCCATCCAACAAAAGGACTCCTCCCAGCACATGCTGTGCTTAAGGGGAATTAATGAGCTGCCTCTTAAACAGGGTAGACACTGCTGCAGAGAAGCATCATCTGTTAGTTTTCTGGCAAGACTCCCCAGGGGAAAAGAAAATACCTTTCTTAAATCGAAGCTGGGCCAGATCATAACGGCCATAATCTCGTAACAAAATCACTCCTCCTGGTTTCAGAAGGCGACTCAGTCTGTTAACGATGCACTGCATCCTGAGGAAGGAACAAAACACAAGTGTCCAACATTCTGCAAAGTGATGCTTGTTTGCTTAGCTTACTTTCTGAAAAGAAGGTATAAAGTTTTACATATGTTTCAACTTCATATAAGTTCAGCTTCACCAAAAGCTAGCACTTTCTGAACTCTCTCAGACTTAGGTGGGTTGATTTTATTTGGCCACCTTATTTCTGACACACCCCAATTCTGGTTTGTTTTTTTTCTACAATGATAACTTAGCCTGCCACAGCAGGGATTAGCTGCTAATTACAAAAGGACTTCCATTGGTTTCTGTAAAACAAGTCATCAGTGAACTTGAAGAAAAATGCTGTGAAATAAAACCAAAGGGAACAAAACAGACAAACTAGTGTAGGTTGTAACACAATGTCACACTGAGATCAGAGCAATTTTCTTAACTGTTTTCTGAACCTCTCCCCTCCCTTCTTGCCATCTCCCATATGAGAAATTCATCTAGTCTTTGAGCCTTAAAATCTAACAGCATACTTTCCACAACTGGGTGCTGAGTGCTCATTGTGGCTGGATTCAGAAAAAGTGAGCAACTGTGACCACAGCAAGGCATCAGGGATAGCACTTCAAAATCACACCTATCCTGTGCCAGAATTTGTTACAACAGAAAGTACCTGCAAATTTCATTTTCAGAGGCTTAATGGAAAACTGGACCAGACAGAGAACAAACTTTAATCTTCCTTGATATGGGGAACCTACTATCAAAAAACTCCAGTTCTATATGCATTATCTTCTGCAACCAGAAGGAATTATTAAAACTTACTTCTCTGGGAGAATCGCTGAGAGGACAAAGATAAGAATAACAACGTCAAGACTCTTGTCTGGCATTGGGAAAGGACTTTGGTCATTGCACAGGTCATGGACAAATGCAAAGCAGCGAGAAGAATCATATTCTGTGTTGTTCTGTATTTAAGGGGAGAGAAATTGGAGCATTAGCAGCAGACCCTGATCTCAATACTATCTAGACATGGGAGCATTTTAACTTTCACATAGTAATATAGTGGTGTGTCCAGAGATCTGTTTCAGCTTCACTGGACTAAGGCAGATGCGGTCAGATAGGTTCCCTGGTCAGAACAGGGGTGAAATGTGAAAAATAAGTACACAAGCGAGATTTATAAAGAGCTTTGGACATTCAGACAATTAGCACTGCTAAAAACCCAAAGCTGGAATGAGGGATTACTGCAATTTTAAGGTCAGATTTTCCACTAACAGTGGAAAGAAGTGAGGGATTTACACTGTTAAGCTGGAAATATTTGCAAAAGTGAGAGTGTCAGGGCCCCTCTCTGCATCACTGAAACCAATATTCAGCTACAAGCAGATGACTCTGTATATCCCAAACATCAAACCTGGCTGCCTAAAGTTACACTCTTAAAAATCACATTTAGACTTCTAAAAGTAGTTGCGTATTTTTCTAAGCTGCTGCTATGGATTGCAGTAGCCTCTATAAACAGTGCTTGTGTCAGCTTAAGAGGATGAAATGGCATGCTGCCTCTGCTGTTCTGCTCCTCATCTCATCTCATGTAGTGACTGATTACATTTGATACTTCATATATTCTCAGTTGTGTTCTGAACTGAAATTTGTTAGCAGTATTTGTCCTTTGAGTAAATTCCAGCCTCCTGCTCCACAGACTGCAGTATCTCTCCTCAGCTGTCTGTGCAGAAGCAATCAGACCACGTTCCCAGAACTGCAGTGACAGTAACGCACACACAAACCAAAACCAGCTTCAGTTCCTGTTAAAAAATAGCCTGAATGTTTTCAAGGTTCAGAAGCTACT